GTAAGAGAAAAGACTGTGCAGTCAAAACCCTAGCCAATGGGGTGAGACACAGCCTTAAGACTTGCGTCAGGGATAAAAACTGGAATCTCCACTTGGTGTGATCGCTGGCCTGTTCCTGTACAGCTGTACATCCTTCTGCAGAAGTAAATTTTTTCTTGCCTATGTAATTTAGTCTCACCGAGTGTCTTTTTGTGCGACATCGGGATTCATTTCTAACACTGCCACTATACTTTACTGCTGCTGTTTTGTTGGGCTTCTCCCTCTTTTTCACTGACAGTCCACTTTACCAAACATAATGTCCTTATTGTCTAGCTAACATTATTTTCCCTATTTTATTTTCTTGGAGTCTGAAGGGCTCAAACCTGTGCTGTACCCATAGGTAATTATCTCCTAGGCTACCTAGTCTTTGAGTCTTGGTGTGGTGCTGTAGGCTAATGTGCTGGACTGCAGGGTCGGTTTGAACTCTAAGATCAGTATTTCAGGCTCACCAGCTGCTCCTTGGGAACCCTATACAGTTGTAACTGACTTGACAGGATTTAGCAGCAACAACAACCTAGTCCTAGTACATGTCATGCCCGCATTGGTGCTCTCTCACAAGGCCATTTACTCAATACGTATAAAAGAAAGGTTTTTAATAAGTTTCTTTTTTTTAAATCTCCCCTCTCTGTTCAAACCATTTTAATCATAGTACTGCCTGACTATACTTTTCCCTGTGCTCTAGGAACATATAGGCTAAGGATTTACTGTTGCATTGTTAATTTAAACCTAGGACAAGAAGACAAGCTAGGAGGAATACCAGAGGACCAGGATCTAGCATCCCTTGAGAATGTAACTTTCAGACAAAGGTTTTTGAAGAGACCATTAACATAAACAATGTTTATGGACAATCACATCCCAGGATGCCTTGACTCAATGGAGCAGAAACTGTATCCTGTGCTGAGCAAGCAATAAAACTCTAAGAAAATAAAGTAATAATGAAGATAGACTGATACCTAGAGGGTTATAAGAGTTCTGACAGTATGGGGGAGGGCAAGGCAGTGTTTCAGAGAAGAATTCTCAGTGCCTTCTAGAATTGTCAAGAAAACATATACTGATTCTCACACTGTCTCTTATATTGGCTATAGCAGCTGGTGATCAGACTTTAGTCTGGTAATATCTTTGGCAACCACAGAGGGGAAACCTTGGACTATCTCAGTAAGTAAAGATATTTGTCATTCTCACTTGCTGGGAGACTTATTGGGCCACAGGACAGGGAGACCCCAGGGGCACACATTCCAGGCATCCCACGTGACATCACAGAGACCTACTGTCTTGGGACCTCTTGAGTTCTGGCTACTGGCATCTCCTATTTGCCTATATTGAACACTATACCATTTTGATTTCAGGGATTTGATAATAGAATGTTGTTGCTGTTACGTGCCTTCAAGTCAGTTACGATGCACAGAGACCCTATATAGGGTTTCCAAGAAGCAATGGGTATGTTTGAACCACTGATCTTGTAGTGAGCAGTCTAGTGCTTATCCCAGAGTATACACAAGGACTCCTGATAACAGAATAGTAGCCAGGAACTATGAATCTTAAGTGTCCAAGGGAAATATTTTGTCATGCAAGAAGAGGAAGTCCTGAACTATTACCTCATGACAAATGGAAGCACATGGTTTACTAAAACTCTCCCAGTTGGTCAAAAGATTCATGAAGACAATATTGCTTCTTGCTTTGGATTCCATGTGAACTGAGGACATTTGATTTTCCAGGGAAACTTCCCTTGTCAAAAAGTAAATTGGCTTGCTGACATAAACCTTATATTCTGTGAGTTGGTTTCCGTGATTTTAAAAAAAGTATTGTATATATCCACAGAATTACACTTCATATTCAAGACGGAAGTTTATTCCTAACAATTTTTACTTTAATTTTTATAGGCAGCTGACTTTAATATTATTCTTTTAAAGAATAATATTAAGTTTACTCGTTAATATTGCCCTTTATAGATTAATATTCACTAGTTTCCAAAATTCCTGTCTGAAGATATTGAGTCCTGGTATGATGCTGCAGGATAATGCACTAGACTGCAAGGTCAGTTTGGACCAAAGGTAGGCACTTCAAACTTACCCACCACACTCCTTAGAAACTTTACACAGGGTCACTATGAATCAGAAGCAACTCCATGGCACTTAACAACAACAAAGCATCGATGAAATAAGAATGCAGTAAATTCTAGGTTGGCATGATGTTTGAAGAGAAAATTTAAGCCTTGAGTAGCAACATTGAAGGTACCTGCTGGCAAAAAAAAAAATTGCATGACACAAGAAGCATCAAAAGAAAATAAAGGAAATATGAATACACAATCACTGTATCAAAATGTTGTTGTTGTTAAGTGCCATTGAGTAACTTACAACTGTATAGCATTTCCAAGGATTAAGCAGAGGTCATGATGTCTGATATCTGATAGTGCTTGGCTGAAAGCAGAGAATACAAGAAAGATATTATCAGCTTTATTGACTACATAAAGGCATTTGACTGAGTGGATCATAGCAAATTGTAGGTACTATTATAAAGAATGAGACTGTCTAACACTTAATTGTGCCATTATGGAGCATAAATATAAATCAAAATACCCCTGCTGTAACAGAACAAGGGGATATATTGTATGGTTCAAAATGTGAAAAGGTGTGGGTCAGGGTTACATCTTTTCACTTTAATTATTTAATCTGTATGGTGAGGAAATAATCTGAAATACTGAACTATATGAAGGTTGATGCAACAGTAGGATTGAAGGAAGATTTATTAACAACCAATGATATGCAGATAACATAAACTTGCTTGCTGAAATGGAGAAGCAGTTCGACTTGAAGCACTTACTGATAAAAAAAATAAGAGACTACAGCCTTTAGGTATGGTGGTGGCTGTGTGCTGTATAGTTGGTTCTGACTCTTAGCAACCCTGTATAGGGTTTCTGAAGCTGTAAATTTTTACAGGAGCAGAAACTCTCATCTTTCTCTTGTTGAGCAGTTGATAGATTTGAACATGCAATTAGCAGCCTAATGATAACCTACTGCTCTACCTAGGCTCCTTCCTTCAAGTACTGGTTACAGCCAATTGTGAAGAAAACAAAAATCTTCACAACTGGGATTATAAATATCATGATAAATGGTGAAGCAATTAAAGGTGTCAAGGCTTTTATTCTACTTGGATCAACAATCAACACATGTGAAAGCATTAGTCAAGAAATAAAAAGATGTAATGTATTAGGCAAATCTGGCACAATAGCTCTTTAAAATCTTAAAAATTAAATATGTCACTTCATATAAATTAATTAGATGAACCTGACTCAAATCATGATATTGTCAATCACTTCCAATGCATGTGAAGTTTTGACAATGAAAAAGGAAGACCTAAGAAGGATTGACTACGTATACTAATAGTGAAGTGGGAAGACTATTGAATATAGCATAGGCTGCTAGAAGAATGAACAAATTAGTCTTGGTGGAAGTGCAGCCTGATTGAACCTTAGAAATTAAGGTAGTGAGACTGTCTCACTTACTTAGGACACATCATCAGAGGGGACCAATTGTTGAAAAAGGACATTATATTTGGTAAAGTATACAGTTAGTGAAAAGGAGACTCTCAATGGTAAGGGTTGACTTAAGCATTGCAAAATTTGTGAAAGGATGGGAAAAGATCTGGCAATGTTTCTGTTTTGCATAAGGTCACTGAATTATAGCACATAATAACAATGGTGTATTTTAAAGAGAGAGTTTGTGAGATGCTCAGAGATAGGAGTTGTTGAAAGAGCTTGAGTAGAGGTGTGAAGAATTCAGTGCAAGTCTTATTTTGAATTATTGTTGTGATATGTACATAAACAGTTTTCCTTTTTTTAAAATACACATTTACGTGCTGGTGGTGGTTATGTGCTGTGAAGTCAATTCCAACTCATAGAGACCCTGTATTGGTTTCCAAGGCTCTAAATCTTTACAGGTGCAGAAAGGCTAATCTTTCTCATGTGGAACCATTGGTTGTTATGAACTGCTGAACTTGAGATTAGCAGCCCAACTCGTAACTGCTACCAGAGCTCTTTACAGTTTCCTAGAGGGTACCATTTAAAGAAGATCCCTTATTGGAGGGAGTTTTTAAAAGATGGTGCTGTTCATCATACTACAGTGATTTGAATATTTCTTCTTGTTCTGTCTCTGAAAAGATGGGAATAATCAAGAAGGAGTGTAATGTTTTCTTTTTTTGAGATTTCAGAAGACAGTACTTTTTGGTAGGAAAGCATGAAGATGGCTGGTGTTGAAACATGGAACATCTTTCCTTGGAGTCCTTACACACCCATTTAGAAGCATAGCAGGACAGATACTCTTTGACATGGAGTTGGTGGAGGCAGGATTTTTATGACTTTTTTACTTTTTAGGATTTCACCCCTTTCTGGAATTGTAGCATCCTTTTCAATGCCCTATTCACCTCCTTGTTTCTTAAGGTGTAGATGAGTGGATTCAGCAGTGGGGTGATAAGACAGTAGAATAATGATGTGAACTTAGCCTGGGTGCTATTAGAAGAGGGTTGGAGATACATATAGATGGATGGCCCATAGTACATAATGACGACAATCATGTGGGAACTGCATGTACTGAAGGCCTTGTGCCTTCCTTCAGCCGAAGGTAACTTCAGCACAGCTCTGGCAATAAAGGTATAAGAGATCAGGACAAGCAGTGGAGCTAGAATTACAAAAGGGATGGCTCCCATAACCAATGTCAAGTCATTAGCAGTGGTGTCTTCACAGGCCAGCTTGATCAGAACAGGCAGTTCGCAGAAGAAGTGGTCCAAAGTATGGTGACCACAGAGTTGGAGCTGGAGAGTGAGAGTGCCTTGAAGCAGAGAATTAGCTAGGCCACTTCCCCAGGCTGTGGCTGCCAGCTGCATACATACCTGGGGGCTCATGATAAGGGTGTACTGGAGTGGCTGGCAGATAGCCACATAACGATCTAAGGCCATCACTGCCAGCAGGATGCATTCAGTGCATCCTATCCAGTGGAAGAAATAGGCTTGTGTGATGCAGCTCCTGGAAGCAATTGTCTTCTTTGGTCCCCAGAGGTTGGCCATTAGCTGTGGCAAAATAGTAGTGCTGATACAGAGGTCCAGCACAGACAGATTGTCTAGGAAGAAGTACATAGGAGTGTGGAGTCTGGGATCTACCACAGTGAGAAGGATGATGAAACTGTTTCCCATCATAGTCAGGATGTAGAAGACTAGCACCACTCCAAATAGAGGCCTTTCCAGCCATGGATGATCTGAGAAGCCCACCAAGACAAACGTACTTGGGAAACTCATGTTTTCTCCTTCCATGGCATCTACCATCTGTATTGCTGGAATTCAAGAGACAAGGTTTAAAGGATAAACCTAGCATATGTGTCAATCACTCAATGGCATCATTAAAATCTTTCATATGTTGTTAGGATTTCAAAAAATAGAATGGATACTATATAAATACTGACCTACTAGTTGCCAATGCATGAGAAATAGGGCATGAGAAATAGGGCTGGCTTACCTAGATATAATGAGTAGACTCATTCAAATATCTGCTGATATGATGATTTCTCCTTTTTCTCTCTTTTACCTTTTCCTCCCTCTTTCTATACCTGGCTTTCTCAAATCTTTCTGTCATATGGTGAGTGGTAAGCATGCAGAATCTGAAGTAGATTTCTGAATGAGTCTTCATCACTCATTAACTTGACCAAGACACTTAATTTTTTTGTATATCAATATCCTTGTTATAAAATTATGAATAAAAAGAGTTCTTATTTTGATTTAAAAGTTTATTTGAAAATTTATAAATGATTTTTTCATATCAATGTCTTTATCTAAGGAGCTCTGGTAGCATAGTGGTTACGAATTGGGCTGCAAACCTCAGGATGAGCAGTTCAAAAATACCAACTGTTCCGCGGGAGAAAGAGGAGGCTTTCTGCTCCCATAAAGATTTACAGCCTCAGAAATCCTGTATAGGGTTGCTATGAGTTGGAACCGACTCCATGGCACATAACAATAACATGTCTTTACCTGCATTTATCTATCTACCTGGCATCAGGATTAGAGAAAGAATCTTTAACAACCTGTGACATGCAGATGATACATCCTTGCTTGCTGGAAGAGAAGAGGACTTAAATAGTTATTGATGAAGATCAAAGACTACAGCCTTGAAATTGGATTGCTCCTCAAGGTAAAGAAAACAAAAGTCTTCAAAACTAGACCAATAAATGTTGTTGTTGTTAAGTACTGTGGAGTCAGTTCTGACTCATAGTGACCCTGTGCAGGGTTTCTAAGGCTGCAAATCTTTACGGGAGCAGAAAGCCTCATCTTTCTCCCATGGAACAGTTGGTAGTTTCGAACTGCCAACCTTGAGGTTAGTAGTCCGATTTGTAACCACTACGCTACCAGAGCTCATTGGACCAATAAATAGCATCATCATAAATGGAGAAAAGATTGAAGTTGCCAAAGATTTCAGTTTGCTTGGCTCCATAATCAACACTCACAGAAGCAGCAGTCAAGAAAGTAAACAATGTATTGCATTTGGCAAATGTGCTTCATAAGACCTCTTTAAAGTGTTTAAGAGCGAAGATGTCAGTTTGAGGACTAAGGTGTGCCTGACTCAAGCCATGATATTTTCAATTGCCTCAGGAGTCCTGGTATGGCACTGTATAATAAGCATTAGACTGCAAGGTCAGTTTGAACCACAAGGTTGGCAGTTCAAGCTCGCCAGCCGCTTCTTTTAAACTACTTCTTGGTTGCTATGCATCAGAAACAACCCAAAGTCACTTAACAACAACAGCAACATCTTCATGTGAAAATTAAACAATGAATAAGGAAGATCTAAGAAGAGTCCTGGTGTGATGCTGTAGGTTAATGCACTAGAATACAAAGTTGGTTTGATCCACAAAGTCGGCAGTTCAAAGTTAGCTGCTCCTTAAAAACCCTATATAGGGTCACTATGGGTCAGAAGAAGCGACTCGATGGCACTTAGCAACAACAACAGGAATCAATTCATTTGAGTTATGGTGTTGGAAAAGAATATTGGCAGTGTCATGGACTGCCAGAAGAACAAACAAATAAGTCTTGAAAGAGATATAGTGAGAGTATACCTTAGAATCAAGGATGGTGAGACATTGTCTATAGTACTTTGGACATATTATCAGGATAAATCTGTGACTGGAAAGGACATCATGCTTGGAAAAATAGAGCATCAAATTAAGAAAAATAAATAAAGTGGAAGACTCCCAGCAAGATGGATTGAAACAGTGGCAGAAACAATGGGCTAAAACATAGCAACAATTATTAGGATGGCATATAACTGGGCAATGTTTAGTTCTGTTGTACATATGGTTGCTATGGGTTGATTGCAACTCTACAGCACCTAACTACAAAATTGGTAGATACCAGATGGATGGATAACAGATGGGTAAATGTTGCTTTTAGGTGTTACAGAGTCATTCTGACTCTTAGCAACCCCATACAGAACAGAATGAAACACTGCCCAGTCCTGTGACATCTTCACATTTGTTGTTATGTTTGAGCCCATGGTCTCTGCCACTGTGTCAAACCATCTCCTTGGGAGTCCTCTTTTTTGTTAGCTGACCCTCCACTCTACCAAGCGTAATGTAATTCTCTAGGGACTGGTCTCTCCTGATAACATGTCTAAAATATGAGAGAAGAAGTCTTACCATTGTAGTTTCAAGGAACATTGCAAGGTTTCAAAAGGCAGCTTAAAAAGACAAAGTAAAATTTTATAATGAAATGTATAAGGACTTGGACTTAGAAAACCAAAAGGGAAGAAAAGCCATAAAACATTTTCTGATATAATTCCTGAAGATGAGTCTCTCAGTTTGCAAGGCACGCAAAATACAACTTGGGAAGTTCTGTTTCCTCAAAGTAGCATTTAACATCTGACATGAAAGGAGTAAAACTTTTGGTAACTTCATTAGCTGATAGCATGCAGCTAAAAAAGAGAAGAAACAGCTGCAAACAGACATTAAGGATAGGAACGTGAAATGTATGACGTATGAATCTAGGAAAATAGGAAGTTGTCAACAACAATGAAATCGAGTGCATAAAGAACAATATCCTAGGCATTAGTGAGCTGAAATGGACTGGTATTGGCAATTTTTAGTCTGATAATCATACGATTTACTGTGTCAGGAATGGCAAATTGAAGAGGAACAGCATCACATTCATCATCAAAAAGAACATTTCAAGAACTATCACCTACAGGGGAGGCCTGTTAAGACCACTAATATTAAAATTTATGCACCAAAAACTAATCCTAGTGATGATGAGACTGAATAATTTTACCAGCTTTTTCAGTCTGAAATTGATCAAACACACATTCAAGCTGCATTGATACTTACTGGTGATTGGAATGTAAATATTGGAAATGCAGAAGGATCAATAATTGGAAGATATGGCCTTGGTGATAGAAATTATGCTGGATGATAGAATTTCTAAAGACCAAAACAAAGACTTATTCATTGCAAATACTGTTTTTAGAAAATGTGAAAGATGACTATAAAGAATCTAGAGTGACTGAAACAAATGTGGATGTGAAACAGCTGAACAGAAAATTTCAAAGGGTGGTTTGAGAAGACAAGGCAACGTATTATAATGAAATATACAAAGACCTGGAGTTAGAAAACTAAAAGGGAAAATCATGCTCAGCATTTTTCAAGCTGAAAGAACTGAAGAAAAATTCAAGCTTCGATCTGCAGTGTTGAAGGACTCCATAGGCAAAATGCTGAATGACACAGGAAACATCAAAAGAAGATGGACGCACACAGAGTCACTGTACCCAAATGAAATGGACAATGTTCAACCATTGCAAGAGGTGTTTTTGTTGTTGTTAGGGGCCATTGAGTTGTTAATGACTCAGTGATCTTATGCACAATAGAATGAAACACTGCCTGATCCTGGGCCAACCTCACTATTGTTGCCATGCTTGAGCTCATTACAAGAGGCTTGTTGTTGTTGTTGTTGTTAAGTGCTGTCGAGTCGGTTCCGACCCATAGCAACCCTGTGTAGGGTTTCTGAGGAGTGACTGGTGAGCTTGAACTGCTGGCCTTCTGGTTCAAACAACTTTGCAGTCTGGCGCATTAACCCACAGTGCCACACCAGGACTCCTTACAAGAGGTAGCATATGATAAAAAAATGATAATATTGAAGAAAGAAGTCCAAGCTCCACTGACGACATTAGTAAAAAGAAAGCCACTCGGAATTGATGGAATACAAACTAAAATATTTCAATAGACTGTTCACTCTTCTAAGGTAAGAAATTTGGAAGACAGCAAAGTGGTCATTTTGGGCCCATTCGAAATAAAGATGTGTAATGTGGAAATCTTTTAACAGTATCACTAATATTACAGACAAGTACAATTTTGCTGAAGATAAATTAAAAATTGTTATAATAGTACATGCTTGCATCGGATGGATCTTGGTTGAAAGCAGAGAATACCAGAAAGATGTTAATTTGTGATTTTTGACCATATAAGACATTCAACTGTGTGCATAATAAGCTACAGATAACATTCTGAAGAATGCGTAAAATAGAACACTTAATTGTGCTCATGAAAGAACCTGTACATAGACCAAGAGGCAGGTGTTCAATTGGAGAAATGAGAGACTGAATGGTTTGAAATCAAGAGAGGTGTGTATCATGGTTGTACCCTTTCACATACTTATTCTACCTTCATGCTGAGCAAATAATCCAAAACACTGGATTATTTCATCATTTCTTGCAGTTTCTTTAGCTTCTTTACATTTAAGAGCAGGTTTCAGGGTCTCTTCTGATATACATTTTAGTCTTTTCTTTCTTTCCTGCCCTTTTAGTGACCTTTCGCTTTCTTCATGTGTCGTGTTCTTGATGTCATCTAACAACCCTTCTGATCTTCAGTCAATAGAGTCTAATACATCAAATCAGTTCTTTAGATAATTCTAAGTTCATATTTTGGCTCTTGTGGACTTCAGTTCCCTCAGTTTGAGAAATGTTGAGCATGTTCTTCTCTGAAATATGCCATGCACAAAATATTGAATGCTGTAGAAATCGCCAAAAGAAGATAATACACAGAGTTACTATACCAAGAGGAAATGGTTGATGTTTAAACATTGTAAGAGGTAGCATATGAGTAAAAGCCAATTTTACAAAAGAGAGTAGTCAAAGGTGCACTGGAGGTATTGGCAAAGAAGCAGTCTACCAAATTTAAAGGATATAAATGGAAACCTTTCAACAAATGTAGGCAAAATTGAAAGCACTCATTCTTCTGTGCCACAGAATTTGAAAGACAACAGTTTTCCAGCAGCTATTTTGAAAGAGATCC